AATCGTGAAAGTTGGCAGGTATGATTGTAATTAAATATTTGACATATTATAGGTTTCTGAATAAATGTAGTCAAAGAACTTGAAATTGGTTATATGAATTGAATTTATATTCAATTAAAGATTTCTTGCTGTTGTGCAATACACTGTGCTGTTGCGCAATACTAAGTAAATCTGTTGTCAGACTATAAACAAATAAAGTTCAATTAATTCTCAATGTCATATTAGAAATTTATGAAAATGTAAAGGGAGCTTACATCAATAGATATAAACAATTCACCAAAGTTTCATGAGAATTGCTAACAGCATTTTTGATTTATTGTCCGAAAACTGGAAAATCCCCCCTTTCTTAATGAATAAAACCCCATAACTCAGAAATGATAAATGAAAAATTTATAAAATTCTATACTGAGCTTACATCAATAGATATAAACAATTCACCAAAGTTTCATAAGAACTACTGAAAGCATTTTTGATTTTTGTCCGAAAACTGGAAAATCCCCTTTTTTTATGTATAAAACCCTGTAACTCGGAAACGTAAAATCCAAAATATATAAAAATCAAAAGGGAGCTCATGTCAATAGATATAAACAATTCACCACAATTTCTTGCAAGTTGGTGAAAGCATTCTTGAGTTATTGTCAGAAAACTGGAAAATCCCCCTTTTTTTACTGAAGAAAACCCCATAACTTGGAAAAGTAAAATCTAAAATTTAAAAAAATCAACAGGGAGCTCATGTCAATAGATATAAACAATTCACCACAATTTCTTGCGAGTTGGTGAAAGCATTCTTGAGTAATTGTCCGACATGTTGACAACGGATGGACGGACGGACAGAGGTATACCATAATACGTCCCGTAAACGGGCGTATAAAAATTAATTATTAATATCTGTTTAAAGGGAAATAACTCAAATTCATATAATAAAAATAAATTTTACTACTGAAAGGTCAAAAACTCATCAACGAGAACAGCCCGCCCGCCCGCCCTACATCCCCAAATCAATAAAGATTTTTCTTTCAAAAAATCTGGTTAAAAATAGTAAAAATCATCATTAAAGGGCAATAACTTCAATAATGAGTCATCAGATGATTTCAACCATTTGTTTTATTTGTAAAACTTATCTTGCTGATTCATTTTTGCTATACAGTTACTCTCTATCTATAATAATTTTCAAGACAATAGGCAAAAATTTTAAAAGTTGGTAAATTCGTCATTTAAGGGCAATAACTCCTATAAAAAGTTGTCTGATAGTTTGAAAGTAAATGGACACTAGGTAGATCTCATCATTCCAAACATTTTCTGCCTCTTTCAGATTTTCTCCATTTATAGCAGTTTTAAAGATAATAGACCAAACTTGTATTTTACCCCTATGTTCTATTTTTAGTCATGTTGGCCATCTTGGTTGGCAGGCGGGGTCATCGGACACATTTTTAAAACTAAATACTCTAATGATAATTGTGGCCAAGTTTGGTTAAATTTGGATCAGCAGTTTCAGAGAAGAAGATTTTTGTAAAAATTAACGACAACGACAACGGACGAAGACGGACGCTGGATGCCAAGTGATCAGAAACAAGAGGCTCTCAAAAGCCAGAATCGCTCACCTACAGTTTTTTTATCTTGAATTATCAATTTAGGGGCAATAGCCCAAAAATCAGTTGTCTGATTCGTCTGAAAATTTCAGGGCAGGTAGTTCTTGACCTAATGAACACTTTTACCTAGTCATATTTGCTCTAAATGCTTTAGTTTTTTTGATATAAGCCAAAAACTGCATTTTACCCCTATGTTCTATTTTTATTCATGGCGGCCATGTTTTTTTACTAAACATAAAATAAAACACAAACTTTATACTAGATACCCTAAGGATCATTCAGCTTAAGTTTGGTTGAAATTGGTTCAAAAGTTTCAGAGGAGTAGATCTTTGAAATAGTTTACACCGGACGGATGACGACGACGGACTCCAACAGATGGCAAAAGCTCACACTTCCTTTTAGACAAGGTGAGCTAAAAAAAATAAAAAAATGAATTGGGAATGTGTCCATGGGACACATATGATGCCCCGGCTTGCATATGACATTAAAAAGGGGCTTAACTCAAGAACGGTAAAAGTGACACTACCCAAATTCGTACTTGATCTGAGTTTTGTGGTAATAAGCCATGTGTATAAGTTTCATAACATTTGGTTGAGGCAAACTTAAGTAAGTGAACGGAAACGAAAATTCAGCAATTTTTCCATTTGTAGAGGGGCATAACTCTAGAACGGTAAAAGTGACGCCACCTAAATACAAACTTGATCTGTGTTTTGTGGTAATAAGCATTGTGTTTAAGTTTCATACCATTTGGTTGAGGCAAACTTAAGTTAGAGAAAGGAAACGAAAAATTCAGCAATTTTTCCATTTGTAAAGGGGCATAACTCTAGAACGGTAAAAGTGACGCCACCCAAATTCAAACTTGATCTGTGTTTTGTGGTAATAAGCATTGTGTATAGGATTCATAACATTTGGTTAGGGCAAACTTAAGTTAGAGAACGGAAACAAAAAATTCAGCAATTATTCCATTTATAAAGGGGCATAACTCTAGAACGGTAAAAGTGACAACACCAAAATTCACAATTGATCTGTGTTTTGGGGTAATAAGCATTGTGTATAAGTTTCATAACATTTGGTTAAGGCAAACTTAAGTTTGAGAATGGAAACCAATTTCGGGACGTACAGACGGACAACGGACGTACAAACGGACAATGGTAAAACTAAATGCCCCTTCTGCTACGGCGGGGGCATAAAAATTTTTATAGGTATAAAACTGTTCTGCATTCATCTTCATCAAAAATTCATAGAAAAGACTAACAACATTACAGTGATTTTTTTTGGAAGTTGTTGATTAAAATCGTGTGGTTTTACCTTTCAGGATAAACAGGAAGTCAATGTAAGTAGAAAATGATAAAGGAAAATCTGCGATTCCGAACTCAGAAACAATTTAACAAAAAAAAAAATATATATATATTCAGTTATTTGTGGATATTGGTTTGCTGAACAAATTGCTGCTTACAGTCTCTCCATATCTATAATCAAATTCAAGCTTACAAAAAACAGCAAAAATTATATACCAATTCAAAAGCAATAAGCCCATGTACTGGGCGTCTGTTTTGTCTAAATATTACCTCCCAAACAAATCTTGACAAATCTTGACCAGCTGTGAATTTTTGACCATTACCTGCCTACGTTTGTCTAACTTTGTTCATTATTTTCAGAGGAAAAGATTTATGAAAATTATCAAACATGATAAACAAATTGTGTAAAATTGATTTAAAAGGGCAATAACTCCTTAATGGGTCTAATGACAATTTTGGTCTTTTGACTTATTTGTGGATATATCTTTACTGAAAATTTATGCTGTTCATAGTTTACCTTTATCTTAAACAATATTCAAGATAATAACCAAAAAACCTGCCAAATTTCCTTAAAATTGACAATTCAGGGGAAATTACCCCAATACAGGTCGTCTGATTCGTCTAAAAATTTCCAGCCAGGTATAACTTAACCTTATAAACATTTTTACTTCTGATCAGATTTGCTCTAAATGCTATGGTATTGAGATATAAGCCAACAAGAGGCTGTCAGAGTGACAGCAAAGCTGGATTTTCCTGCAGAGGTCGAACCCTGAACAGTTGAGCAAGTATGGACACAACATTTAAGCTTAAAACAGCTCTGAATTTGGATTGTGATTGAATATTTAAAATAGATTATTATCTAATTTATAATGAAAATGATATTTGCAAATCTGAACCCCCAAACAGGATCGAGTAAAAATTAAACATTAACACACACAACAAAAATAAAATACCACATAACAACTGTGACATCTACCTTCAAAACACACATGACTTAAAAAAAATAGTTATTAAGAAATTTTTGACAACTAATGACTAAAATTAATTGAACAGAGACAATCATTAATAGACTAAAATCCATATATATACTTATTAATTAAACCATTTATGTTCAAAGGGAAATAACTCAAACTTATTTCAATGTACCAGTGATGTAAGCAGCAAAAATAGTTCTCTAAATTAGATATGATTTAACCACTAAAAAATAGTTCTCTAAAATTAGATATGATGTTATATCTATTTTCAAATTATAATAAAAATTCTAAATACCACTTAGATTCAGCATAACAAAGAACACCAAGAATTCAATTTTTTTTTAAATAAAAAAAAAGTTGTATTTTTTACCCTTTGGACCTAAATGTAGACAAATTGGAAGACAGGCCTCAAAATTAAAAAAAAAATCTAACAAGAGACCAAATGACAAAGAAATTAATTATTAATTTCTGTTTAAAGGGAAATAACTCAAATTCATATAATAAAAATAAATTTTGCTACTGAAAGGTCAAAAACTCAACAACGAGAACAGCTAAAATCGTGAAAATTAAACTTGACCTTCGGTTAGTCACAGGAAACAACATATCTAAATTTGAAAAGATGTCGTCAAAGCGTTTTCATGTTAATGAACGGACACTGTTTGGCAGCCACCTGCCCGCCCGCCGTACATCCCCAAATCAATAACCGATTTCTTTTGAAAATCCGGTTAAAAAGAAAAGAATGTCAACATTGAAAAGTGAAACAAGGAACCACTAGGAATAACCATTTCATTCACTGATCCTACTCACAAAAATCATTCTTGATGGTGTACATATATTTTTAACCTTTAACATGAAATCTGATTGCACGTGCTTGCTATCAATATATATTTATATTCATGTTTATATCGGGTTATATGACCATCGGCAGTCCATTGGATGTAATATTAATGGATAATTAGATAGCTTCTGGTCTTAAATATGTATGAAGTGCTGATCCATTATAGTGAGCACGTCTAGACAAAACTGAAGTAGTTCCTTTGGCTACCTTTACAGGAAACTAACTTCCAAAGCTCGAACTACAAGGGAAATTACTTTACACAAAATATTATAACCATCATTTTGTTTATTTGAATATTCACCTATGTTTATGTTCTTCCTCTCCACCACTGTCAATCTCATCTTCATCTGAAATCACAAAAAGGAAGATTTTATTAATATTCAAGCTGTAGATCATTTTCAGTTCATACATTATTTTTATGCTTATGATCATTCTTTTTCAACCAATACTTTTGTAAAAGTCTGCTCACAACCAGATGCCCATGTTCAAGTGAACAATCAAATTATGAGATGCAGATAAGAAGAGGGTCGTCCTGAACATGCATGAAATATTAGCCACTGGACGTTAAGCAACAAACAACCAATCAATCAGATTAGAAGAAATCAGGTATATTCTATTCAATCATAGCTAATTTATACAATATCTAAACACAGCTTGTACCAATAATTCATTACCGTCTCCAAGGGCAAGGGGTTTTAAAGTTGAGAGCTGAAACAATTTTTAAACATATGCACAGGGATGGCTAAGTTGAACAAAGTTTTTGACCATGAATTTCACTGTACTGTTGCCTTCCTACTACTTAAGACACCTTCTGGTAATGGCAAATATACATGCCAAGTTTTATTATTGTACCCAACTCGAACAGTCTAAGAGGCTTGAAAGTCTAAGAGCAGAAATTTATATTATCTATTTAGACAATTTATATACAGAAATTTAGTAGAAAGCTTGGTACATTACATTTGACATCAGTATGTGTGTTGCCAAGCTTTATTATGTACTTCAGGACAATTTCAGTAACTAATTTCTGTATATAAATTGTCCTGTCAGCCAAGTTCAATAAAATTGCAGACTCTTTGAAGTGTTGTTGTCATATACAGTATTTCAAGCTTTGCAATAGTTTGCATTTATTTACAACCCTGCCTTTCAAGGTATCAACTTCAGGCGACTATCAAAAGTAAACACAACAGCGTTGGTTCATCACATAGAGTTATAATCATCAAGTTTTGTTCCAACTATAAACTGTTGGAGATTTTGGTTTGGTAAATTTATTAGCTGAGATAAAATGAAATTTGAATGAGTCTTTGTGTAGTTTAGGAAGCCAATACATAGTAGGGACTTTCAAATTTTCTATAACCTGCTAAGTCAATTTCCTGGTCATAACACTAGTTAGGAGGTAATTTAGAATAACATCTAGCATACCCTGCTGATGCAAATATCTATCTGGTTTCACTCTACATGCTCTATTTTGTGTGAAAGGGATTCTCTAGGTTTTCATTTTTTATGTTAGTTTTTCTTCACCAGGACTTAAAATTACTTTAAGATACTCATTCTAATGTGCTTGAAATTGAATTGAGAAATACTAAGCAACTTTTTACTTACACATTAAGCATACAAATTTACCTGAGGTAACTTCTTCATGGTGTAACCTCTGCTCTAACTCTCTAGATACTTTTTCACTTATTTGTTTCTTCTTTTTCAACTTGATCATCATTGGTTTATACTTGTTGTCACTCAGTCTATTTAGTGGCTTAATATAAAATAACCATAATAAATATAAAATTAAAACACAAGTGAACCAACGCCTGGTAAATCTTCTGTCAGTAGATTCCATAAAGTGGATACCTCGGGTATGCAGGGTCGTTACGATAAAAACATAAAATGTAGAAGGTCCAGTAACAACAACACTTTAAGGAATGTTCCAGTATTTTATTGCGATCGACATGTTTCGGTGGCTAGGCCACCATCATCAAGATAAACAAGAGTGCATACGCTGAAATGTCTCGCATTCTTTATTAATCATTGATATTATGTTGATAGTCCTAAATATAAAGCTTTATTACAACTGTCTCATAAACTTAACATTAACCAAGTAAACTAAACATTGACCAATGAACCATGAAAATGAGGTCAAGGTCAGATGAACCATGCTAGGCAGGCATGTACAGCTAACAATTCTTCCATACAACAAATATAGTTGGACCTATTGCTTATAGTTTAAGAAAAATAGACGAAAACACAAAAACTTAACACTGAGCAATGAACCTTGAAAATGAGGTCAAGGTCAAATAAAACCTGCGTGACTGACATATAGATCATAAAATATTTCCATATACCAAATATAGTTGAACTATTGCATATAGTATTAGAAAAAAAGACCAAAACTCAAAAACTTAACTTTGACCACTGAACCATGAAAATGAGGTCAAGGTCAGATGACACCTGCCAGTTAGACATGTACACCTAACAATCATTCCATACACCAAATATAGTAGACCTATTGCATACAGTATAAGAAAAACAGACCAAAACACAAAAACATAACTATAACCACTTAACCATGAAAATGAGATCAAGGTCAGATGACACCTGCCAACTGGACATGTACACCTTACAGTCCTTCCATACACCGAATATACTAGACCTATTGCTTATAGTATCTGAGATATGGACTTGACCACCAAAACTTAACCTTGTTCACTGATCCATGAAATGAGGTCGAGGTCAAGTGAAAACTGTCTGACAGGCATGAGGACTTTGCAAGGTACGCACATAACAAATTTAGTTATCCTATTACTTATAATAAGAGACAATTTAACATTACAAAAAATCTTTAACTTTTTTTCCAAGAAGTCACTGAACCATGAAAATGAGGTCAAGGACATTGGACATATTACTGACGGAAACTTCGTAACATGAGACATCCATATACAAAGTATGAAGCATCCAGATCTTCCACCTTCTAAAATATACAGCTTTTAAGAAGTTAGCTAACGCCGCTGCCGCCGTAGCCACCTCCGCCGCCGGATCACTATCCCTATGTCGAGCTTTCTGCAACAAAAGTTGCAGGCTTGACAAAAACAATACACAAAATCATGCTAAGGTACAAAATCGGGTTGAGAAAATTAAAACGTCACAATGTTGCTATGGTGAGTAACGTTATAAATAGCAATTGAAAGAGAAAGTGAAAGTAAGTATATATGGAAGTGAACTATCAAAATAAAATAAAATAAAATAAATGTTTTTGTTGTTAAAATGTTTGTTAAAATTGTTCTGCCATCATGTGTTAGCATTCTTGCACAGTGGAACGAATTATACAATTAATTATTGTCAGTTGTGTTCTGTGTAAACTTTGTGTTCAATTAACGTCTTTATTTCCAAATATAGACGACATTTTACTGGCAATTCCGTACCATTTCGACTGGCTTCCCTTTGCCAGAGGTACTACTCCCAATCGCGTCGGGAATGCTGTAAAGTGTTTGACCGCCGAAGGTATAGGGATAAAATTAAATAAAATTATATCGTTGGTCTATGATGAATGTAAATGTTGTGTTCCTCCATTAAACTGTCGGAAGTGGCTGGTAATCTATTAATCTGGTAAAGTTGGTAGTATGTATGATTAACGTATTTTCTGGAACTTACTTCAAAGTGAATTTCATAATAAGAAGTCTGGTGCATATAATTGCCAATGAATTCTGTAAGAGAAAAATAGTCTTATCACAGTTCTTTTCCTCCTGTGCACTTGTTTTTGGTTGAGATGGTTCATCATAATTACAGCATTCCCGACACGATTGGGAGTAACACAAAAACTTAACATAAGCAATGAACCATGAAAATGAGGTCAAGGTCAAATAAAACCTGCCAGACTGACATGTACATCTTAAAATATTTCCATACACCAAATATAGTTGACCTACTGCATACAGTATTAGAAAAACAGACAAAACACAAAAACTTAACATAGAGTAATGAACCGTGAAAATGAGGTCATGGTCAAATAAAACCTGCCAGACTGACATGTACATCATAAAATATTTCCATACACCAAATATAGTTGACCTACTGCATTCAGTATTAGAAAAACAGATCAAAACACAAAAACTTAACATCGAGTAATGAACCGTGAAAATGAGGTCAAGGTCAAATAAAACCTGCCAGACTGGCATGTACATCGTAAAATATTTCCATACACAAAATATAGTTGACCTATTGCATACAGTATTAGAAAAATAGACCAAAACACAAAAACTAAACTATTACCACTGAACCATGAAAATGAGGTCATGGTCAGATGACACCTGCCAGTTGGACATGTAGACCTTACAATCATTACATACACCAAATATAGTTGGCCTATTGCTTATAGTATCTGAGATACGGACTTGACCACGAAAACTTAACCTTGTTTACTGATCCTTGAAATGAGGTTGAGGTTAAGTGAAAACTGTCTGACAGGTATGAGGACCTTGCAAGGTATGCACATACCAAATATAGTTATCCTATTACTCATAATAAGAGAGAAATTAACACAACAAAAAATCTTAATTTTTTTTTCAAGTAGTCACTGAACCATGAAAATGAGGTCAAGGACAATGGACATATGACAGACGGAAACTTCATATCATAAGGCATCTATATACAAAGTATGAAGCATCCAGGTCTTCTACCTTCTGAAATATTAAGCTTTTAATAAGTTAGTTAACGCCGCCGTTGCTGGATCACTATCCCTTATTATATGTCGAGCTTTCTGCGACAAAAGTCGCAGGCTCGACAAAAAATGTGAGTTGTCAGAATCAAAGTATATGTTCATCTGTTTAAAGTATTATTTCTTTTCAATTTTGGGAAGATGATGCTTTAACATTTTTTTTTGGAAGCCTGCTTACAAAAATGTGGTAATCATATCCTGGTAAATTTATTAAAGGAGAAGCAAGAGGCTCCACAAAGCCTGAATAGCTCACCAGGGACTCCAGGGAATATAAAGACCAAATTTCAGTTCTTTTACAAAACTATTTTTAAGTTTTCTTGAACAGAGACTCTTAAAATGTTTGCAAACTGGGTTTTTATTACATTTGTTAGTGTCGTTCTATAGCAATGAACGGTCATAATTCATTAACGTCAAAAGTGAAAATCATCAATATATAAATTGACCTCAATTTTGTCGCTGGTAACAACATATTAAAGTTTGCAAAGCATTGGTAGAGCAGTTCTCAAAGAGAGGCAGAAGATAACAAAGGGGTAGTCAATTACTCATCAGTCAAAAATGAAATGACTATTCCATGGCAAAAAAACAAAAACAAACAACTTTTTACCTTAACTGTATTTGGCAAAACCTTTCAGAATGTTGGATCCTCAGTACTCTTCGCCATCGAAATTTATTTGGCCTTTTTAACTTTTTTTTAATTCGAGCATTACTGATAAGTCTATTGTAGACGAAACGGGCGTCTGGCATACAAAATTTTAATCCTAGTATCTACCTTAGCTATGTTTGGCAAAACCTTTCCGAATGTTGGATCCTCAATGCTCTTCGACATCGAAATTTATTTGGCCTTTTTAACTTTTTTTTATTCGAGCGTCACTGATAAGTCTTTTGTAGACGAAACATGCATCTGGCATACAAAATTTTAATCCTAGTATCTACCTTAGCTATGTTTGGCAAAACCTTTCAGAATGTTGGATCCTCAATGCTCTTTGACATCGAAATTTTTTTGGCCTTTTTAACTTTTTTTTATTCGAGCGTCACTGATAAGTCTTTTGTAGATGAAACACACGTCTGGCATACAAAATTTTAATCCTAGTATCTACTTAAGCTATGTTTGGCAAAACCTTTCCGAATGTTGGATCCTTTTTTTTTTTTTTTTTTTTTTTAACATTAACAAATTCTTTATTGCACTAGTATCTAGTTGTTAACAACTGCCCTATATAGTACAACCATTATATATAGACAATAATAGTGCATTGACTTGACATATCAACGATATAAGGATGAGGCTTAGAAACGGGGAAATGCGAGGCTCTGCCGAGCTTTTTCCCCGTTTAGGGCCGAATCCTTATATCGTTGATATGTCAAGTCAATGCACTATTATTGTCTTTATACTGCAATCTAGAAAAAAAACATTTTCAATTGTTGTTCAATGTGTAAATGTTATTTATTTGATTTAAATATTGGAAACATCCCCCTTTAAAAAGGCCTTATACCGGTATCAGGCGGAGAAATAGACAACGCAATGAAATGTACATTACCTGTTGAAACCCGCAATCAATGGTGAACGAATTCGTTTGAGTATGGACTAAAATATCAACAATAAGCATAAAACATAATGATTTATAGGTTTCAAACAAAAAATATTAACAAGTGAAATATGTTTTTCCAAAAATTGTAAAAGAAATAAGTTTGGGTCGTTCCACGCTTCATTGTATACATTGGAAACGAGAACAGGTTGAAGAGGTCGTATGAATAATTAAATATAGTTTCGGCAACTTTCTATTTAAATATTCATGAGGAAAAGTGATATCGGGTCAGTGACTGTATATGACATAGCAATATACAGTCAACGCATTTTGACTGCTCAAATAGAACGAGTGCAGTATAAATAGGTTTATCCCTGTGTGTTAATCGTCAAATGAACCAGGGGATTGACTTGACGAAAATATATATTCTTCATTGTTAGAATAATTTACATTTGCATTTTACATTCATTTTGCGGATATCTGTTTTCTCCGTTTACGATTTGTTATTTTCAGTGATTTATT